ACTTGCCCATGGACTTGACCATTGTTCAGTTTAACTTGCATTTTGTGTGTTTATTTGGAAAATAATGTAATCACTAAGTTAGAAAAATCTGAAACAAAAGTCTATTACAGGAGTGAGTGAAGCAAAGCCTTTATTATGTTTCTCGCAAAAGAAGCGGGCACGTGGATGCTGGTTCAGTGGTAGAATCAACTTTTAAATAGTAAGATCCATATTCCACCCGCCAGGGCTAGTTTATCTGAGTTACACTCTTCCTGGACAGCCTATTCCATGTTCCTCCATGTTCTGTTAACTTCACCCACTTCATGGGTCCCATGTTCAAAAATGGCAACTATCTCTGCCCTCAGTGTATGTCAGTTAATATTCAATAAGCTTATTAAGCAAGCACAATGGAGAAAAGCCTTTGCCCTGTCGAGGCTGTCCTTGACCCTGAAGGGTTGCAACTGGTTTAGTCTCCAGGGCTCTTTCTTAAGGAACTAGTTGTTTGCAGAATGTTTGGGGCACTTTCTGATTGGTTGGGGGACTGTCCACAAGGTCTTGGAATTCCTTATCCTGCTGTGGAAGCCTAACCCCCTAAAACCTTTCTTGCAACTGTGACTGTAACACAGCAGATGAAACATACAAAAAAAAGTTTTTCAAAATTTTCTTATCTTCTTTTCTTATGCTTCCACCACCCCCTTACTTTTATTCAATGCCCCCCCCCAATTGCCCCCGAGGCTAGTACTGCTCCACTCCACCCCCACCGTTCCAGCGCCTCCCAGAGGGCGGTATTGCCCACTTTGGGAACCTATCAATTTTTAGTAGGTGCCTAACAAATATTTATTGATTGATTGATATAAAGTGATATATGTGCAGTACTCAGTGCTAAGGGCTGGGGATACAAATGCAAACAAACAAAAAAAAAAGACAAAAGAGAGCTAAAAAGGGGGATGAGGTGAGAAATGAAGGTATCCACTACAGGGGTATGGTTTTGACATCCAGGAGGCAGGAATAGGAACTAGAGAGGAATGAAGGCCAGCCTGGATCCCTCCACAAATTGGAGATCCCAGAGTAACTCCTCATTGGGAGAAGGGCATAGGCCTTACAAAAGGATATTCCAGGGTGAGCATGCTATGGTCTTGGGACGTTGTCTGGCAAGGTGGCCCCAGGATGGAAGGCTGAGAGAGCAGTAGAGGCATGATTTATTTGGTGTTTTTTAAGGCAATCAGGGTTAAGTGACTTGTCCAAGGTCACACAGATAGTAAATGTCTGAGGCTGCATTCTACTCAGGTGGTCCTGACTCCAGGGCAGATGTTTAATCTACTAAGGCCCCCTAGCTGCCCCAAGACATGGTTTTGAAGAACAAAAGTAAGGAACAAGTTTGGGAGGGGAATGAAAATATACCAGGGGTGGGGAACCTGTAGCATGGAGGCCACATGTGGCCTTCTAGGTCCTCAAATGCAGCCCTTCAACTAAATCCAAACTTCACAGAAAAACCCCCTGGTACCTGAGTCAAGTGAGAGGTGATCAGATCTGACTTGCATAAGTGATTAAGTGAATAAATGAATGAAAAAAGCATTTAACCTAACAATTCTTTTGTGCAGAGAGCTATAGCTAAGTGCTGGGCATACAAGCCCATCCCAGCAGCAAAGAACATTTGCAGGTGTTCATTCTAGCCTTAAAGCACATCTGGTTCCACCAGGCTCACCTTCTCTGGGTTTCAGTTTCTCTCTCTGTACAATGAGAAGTGTTAGAGTGCAAGGTTTCTCAAGGGCTACAATCATCCAGGTATAGTTTATTGATTCTGATACTAGATTAGGGAACTTAGGAAACCTGGGTCCACTCTGAGTAATTCTAGCCACTTGGGATGATTGGTCCCCTTAAGGATTTGTCACTATCTTCCTTTCTTTACCTTCTCTATGCGTCAACAATATAGTGGGTCAGACCTCCATTATTACTCCCAGCTCACAAAGATACTTGAAGATGAACCAAAGGATTGTGCTGAGAGCAAGCTCACTGGTTGGGGGTTAAAGTGGGTATGGGAGGAAGCCACATAGGGGCAAGGGATCAGTCTTGTTTTCAAGGGGTATGTTTCATCTGGATTTTATACAAACTGACCCATATTTGTTTTCAAGTCTATTTAGAGCCATTTGGGGGAGGAGGGAGGAGGATTTGCTTTTTTTTGCCCTTTATATTTCCCAGTGTCAGAGGTGGGATTAGAACCCCCTTTACTGGGTGTGGTGGGGCTCCCAGTCCTGCCATCTTTGGACCTACCACGTCACCAGTCATCCTGATCTATATCTGGCCACTGGACCCAGATGGCTCTGGAGGAGAAAGTGAGGCTGGTGACTTTGCACAGCCCTCCCTCCCTCAAATCCAATCCACCTGCGTGTCATGGTATCACCTTCCTGATGTCAAGGTCCTCTTCAAGAATGAAAGACAAACACCACCAACAACCACTCCACAAAGCCCTTCTCTTGGATTTTAAACAAACACAAAGGGAGGCCTAATGAAGAACTTGGTCCTTTCTTCCAATATGGTCCTTTGCCTAGATCAGGAACATTAGTAGTAGGGTTTTAGATGGGGAGAAAGGGGTCAGACTTGCTTCCTGGATTATTTCAATAGCCCCCTAACTGCTCTTTCTGCCTCCGGTATTTCCCCTACTTGTCTATCTTCCTCAGAGGTAGCTAAAGTAAAATTCCTAAAGTCCAAGTCTGACCACAATACTCTCCTACTCAAAAAGTTCCAATGGCTCCTTAGTGCCTTTAGGACAAAATGTAGATTCTTCTGTTTGACCTTTAAAAACAAGGTCTTTAACCTTGGACCCTGACTCTTCAAGCTGATTACATTTTACTTTCTTTTTTCTCTCTCTCTCCATCTGTTAAATTGTCCTACAGATCTACCTGCCATTCCTTGTCTGTAACAATCCATTTCCAGTCTCTGTGACTTTTCACATGCCTGGAACACACTTGATCCTTATCTTTGCCTCTTAGAAACCCTAGTCCTTTTTTTAAAAAAATTAAATAATATTTTATTTTTCCCAATTATGTGTAAAAACAGTTTTTAACAATAAGCAATTTGATATATAGGTTATAGATGTGCAATCATACAAAAACATATTTCCATATTAGTCATGTGGAAAAAAAAATCACAGACCAAAAAAAAAAAAAGTGAAAAAATAATATGATTTGATCTGCATTCAGACTTCACCAGTTCTTTCTCTGGATGTGGACAGCATTTTTCATCAGATGATTCCTTAGGAACTGACTTGGATCGTTGTATTGCTGAGAAGAGCTAAGTCAATCATAGTTGCTGCTGTTACTGTATACAACGTTCTCCTGGTTCTGCTCACTTCACTTTGTATCAATTCATTTAAGTCAGAAAACAGCTCAGCTCAAATGCCACCTCTTGTCTGAACTCTTTATGATGCAGCTATGTGGCACAGTGGATAGAGTGCCTGAACTTGGAGTTAGAAAGACCCTGAGTTCAAATTCTGTTTTAGACACTTGCTAGCTGTGTGATCCTGTGCAAGTCACTCAAATTCTCAGCTTGATTCCTTATCTGTAAAATGGGGAGATAACAACAGCATCTACCTCAATGGGTTGTTGTGTGGATCAAATGAGGTGACATATGTGAAGTGCTTCACAAACCTGAAAGCTATGTTAGCTGTGATTATTTCCTGACCTTTACCAACTTCTATTCTCTCCCCTCCTCCCTCAACCCTTCTTTTTATTAAGTTTGTATGTACATATATGTACATTTTACATTTACTCACAGATACATTGTGTGTAAGGTCCATGAGGACAGAGACAACTTAATTTTTGCCTTGTTACACACACACACACACACACACACAGAGTGTCTGGCAAATAACAGACATTAAATACTTGTTGATTGATCTAGCAAACCAATTCAGATACATGAAAGAAAAGAACCACATCACATCTTTTGAAACAAGTCTTGGGACTGTGATAAGAGCCAGCCACCCTTCCTCTCTGGGTCTCAGTTTCTTCATCTTTAAAACAAAGAGGTTGGACTAGATGTGTCCTAATATCCTGTGCTTCCAAGTCCTGTGTCAAAGACTTACTAAGTGTGAAACATGGGTGCATGTATAAAATAAGGGGGTTGGACTAGTTGCACTCTAAGACCTCCTTCTAGCTCCCGCGTTCTGTGGTTCTAAACTTCTAGGATTCCAGCTCAGTGAATGCTGTTACACCTTTGAGTGGAAGAGGATGAGGGTTTTTGTTGTCAAGTTGTTTCAGTTGCATCCAACTCTTTGTGACTCCATTTGGGGTTTTCTTGACAGAGATACTAGAATGGTTTGCCATATCCTTCTCTAGCCCATTTACAGATGAGGAAACTGAGGCAAACAGGGTTAAGTGACTTGCCCAGGGTCACACAGCTAGTAAGTATCTGAGGCTGGATTTGAACTCGGGCTTGGCACTCTATCCATTGCACCACCCAGCTGCCTAGCGTAAGGGTTAGTGCAGGGGTAGCAAATCTTCGGCCTCAAGGTCACATGTGGCCCTCTAGGTCCTCAAGTGTGGCCCTTTGACTGAATCTAAACTTCACAGAACAAATCCCCTTAATAACAGGATTTGTTCTGTAAAACTTGGATTCAATCAGAAGGCCGCACCAAGGACCTAGAAGGCCACATATGGCCTTGAGACTGCAGGTTCCCCACCCCTGGGTTAGTGTCTATTAGGATCCTCTCTTTGCTAAGAATCCCAGAAGACTATGGCAAAGGGGATCATAACAACCACACCTCCTGAACCTCTGGGACCATTAAGGCTTCAAGGTCTATTGGTAGATTTCCATCTGCTGGATGAGGACACCAAGATGAAAGAAAGCAAGTCATCCCAAGGTCACACCCTGACTTTTAGCCATGGGCTAGAATCTATGGCTGAGTCTATGGCTCTGTCCCTAGGGGCATCCTGACCCACTAGCACTGATGTGAACAAGAAAAAGAAAGACAAGCTGAGTTCTATCCAGAAATAGTCTTGGGTACAAGCAACAACAGAAGCTGTGTAGACCCCAATGCTTTGGGAAGCTTTATTCAGCAATTATGTAGGACTAAGGAAGGAGAGAACTGGGATTCCACAGATCCACCCATCAGTGTAGGATCTCACTGAATCAGGCAGAATGGAAGGAGAGACTGGGCTGTCCTAGAGTCACAATTTTTAAAATCATATTTAAAGAGTATGTGAAGGCTAACAAAACATTTTCCTCACAACAACCCTGTGAGGTAGGGAGTGCCTTAAGTACTACTATCCCAGTTGAACACACAAGGACACTGAGGCTCAGAAAGGATAAATGACCTGCCCATGGTTACATAGTCAGTGTCTGAGACAGGACTTGAACCCAGGTCTCCTGGATCTGTGTCCTGCACTCTTTCTACTATTCCCATTCTGCCTCTCACTTAATAATTGTATTTGCTAATGAAAATTTGTCTCCAACAGTTTAGTTTTGATGCACCAAAACTATCCTTTCTGAGACCAGGGATCCCAAGAGACCAGAAAAAGCTGGAATGATCACCACAAAAGGGTGTGTATTTTGTTCCCCTGACCCTTTGCCATCAGGCGCTGGTAAAAAAAAAAAAATTAAAAACAAAAACCAAAAAAATGTCACCTTCAGTTGCCCGGAGGCACAACACTCTTCTGATAAACCAAGTTCAATATCTCACTCACTGCCACTGCCACTGCCACCTCCTCCCCCAAATAATCTTAATACGTTATCTTCCTGGCCATTGCATTAACTGTGATTTTCTTTGAATCTCTCTTAATTCTGCTGTAGACTCCATCTTGGCTGGGCGACACCTGAGTCACATAACAGTATTGTTTGTGCCCAAATGCAAAGGAAAAGAGCCATAAAGTCAACAGTTCTACACATCAGGGGGGCACTGTCCCCTCCCCAAGAAAACAAGAGCCTGGCTGTCCTCTATTTGGATCCTCGCATCAAAACGCAGATTCCATTTTATTGGGTACTGATAAATATCTGTCCCAGGGGTGTCTCCTGAGGTGGTGTCATCTTGTCCTGCAAGCATTGACTCAACCCAGGATGATCTGGACTGGTCATTGTAGTTTCATGAGACTTCTTCTCTTGGAATCCTTCCGTGCTATAGGGCTGAAACTTGAAACCTCCTTGTAGATGAGATCTGGGAAAAAGGAGACAAGCCATCTGAGTCAGGCAACAAATGAAAGGTCAGGAAGCAATGAATGGGAACCTGGAGGCTGTGGTCAGAGGGGTAGAGAGGTAAACACTTGCTAAACAGGAAGGGGTGAAAGGACAGCCAGTAAAACAAAGCAGGGAGCTGGGTCCCCAGAAAGATAGGTTATGAGGCAAGATTAGGAGGTATAACTCACTGTATAAGGGAAAGGGACAAGGAAGAGACCAGTGGTGAGGTGGGGCAACTCACAGGTTACTGAAAGAAGCTGATTTCAGGGACGGGGAGCTGACCCATAGAAGGGAAGGGTGAGGTGTCAATTATCCCCTGACTTTTCTCCCTTCCCTACCCCCCAAGCCTAGCTCTTACTCTTCCATTCATCTACTGTGAGCTTCTCATGTTCCATGGAATCATCAAATGGCTGCTGGGCTACCGTCTCCTCCTCCAGATCCCGGAATTGGTCAAAGAAGGGATGGGCGAGAGCCTCAGCAGCTGTCAAGCGCTTGTCCACGTCCAACTCAAGCATCTTCTCTAACAGGTCTGCCGCTGCAGAACGGCAGAACCCGTGAGCCCCGCTAGCCAGCGCTCCCCTAAGACTCCACCCCAACAGCCTACCCAGGGCTTCAGAGCAAAAGGAGCTGCCCAGGTCTTTTGGTATCCTTCAAGTGCCAGAGAGGGCTGGAATGTCAACAACAGGTCTCACCCTGGGGGCTAGCACGAGGGAAAAGTTGTGAGAAATCCTGCTTGGGACTCTGAGGCAGGGACTGGATATAGGATTTGGCCTGAAAGAGAGCAAAGCAGAGAGTTTAGTTTTTAGTATCTAAAGGTCTAGAGCTGTGAAGGGCTTTAGAATCAAGGTTTCAGAGATAAGGAAAATGAGGCCCAGATATGATCTGGAGTGATTTGCCCAGGGTCACACAGCCAGTAAGTATTTGAACCACATCTTCCTGATTCCAAGTCCAGCATTCTATGTATGACCTATGACACCAAGCTTCCTCTCTCTCTCTCTCTCTGTCTTCCTGTTTCCCTCTCCCTCCCTCTGTCTCTCTCCCTCCCTCCCTCCCTCTGTCTGTCTGTCTCTCTGTCTCTCTCCCTCCCTCTCTCTGTCTCTCTCCCTCCCTCTCTCTCTCTGTTTCCTAAACATCAAAATATACGGCACAGGGATAAGAAAAGGACCAGGATTGCTGCAGGTAAAACAAAGGACAAAGGACAAAGTTGGAGGAGGGCAGTGGACAGAAGGTCCAAGCAGGCCCAGTTTCACCAGGAGTCTTCATCTTTTGCTTTTTTAAATGCCCACCTCAAAACAAAGACAGCTGACTTTGGCGAGAAGCTTGCTTACCATCCTACCCAGTTTCCTACTTCCTCAAGCAGGCCCTGGCTTGCCCCTTACTGCTTTGTCCTGTAACTTCTGCACAAAGTCTGCTCCAGGAACCCCGGTCACCTTCAGGATCAGGGTCAGTTGGTCCAAGTCTGGCCAGCTGAGTTAAGGCTCATAGTTCCTCCTGAGTAATTTATTGAAGAAATTTCTGGCCCCTTCCCAGCCCTCCCACCCACTACTAAGAGGACTTGGATTCCAAAGTCACGCAGAGTTACTCAGAGTATCCAATCTTCACTGGACAAAAAAGGATACAGTCTTTTCCCTTGAACAGAGTTTTCCCAGTCAGCATCTCTGCCATGATGCAGCCAACAGACCAGATGTCCACTGTGGGTAAGAAGTGGAGAAGGGAACGAGCAAGTGGGAGAAATGAAGGAAAATCATGGAGAATAAAAATGAGTCTGGTCATGAAAACACTAATCAACAAATAAACAAAAATTTACTTCGAGGCTGTAGGATGGCAGAAATGTCCCTGCTCTCAAGGAACTTAAAAGTCCAGCTGGTAAGATAAAACGAAGAAATAAAAAGATGAGCATGAATGAAGTACGATTCACATAGGGCTCTTAAGGCTGCAAAGCACTTTGCTTTCAGTATCTCTAGAGAAGTACAGCAGGTATTATTTTTCCAATTTTATAGATGAGGAAACTGAGTCTCCAAGATGAGAAATTACTTCCTCTTGGTCACACAACTAGTAAAAATCTCTGAGATCAGATGAGAATTTAGATCCCCTTTTTCTAAATCCATCCCTCTCCACCACACTTTGCTGTTTCCCAAGAACCTGCCTTTAAACAAACAGGTTTTGCTGAATTTTTTTTAAGTCTTTGTTAAAAGGGAAGGCTCCCTGTAGAATGGGTCAGGAGGGGCATATTAGTAATTGAATGTGATTGGAGGGCTGGAGGGTGGAGTATGGAACTTTTCCCAATGCCTTCTTTATGGAGGGCAGAAGCTGAATTTTTGGTTCACTCCACTTTGCATCTGCTGTTCTACCAGGTTTCAACTGCCCCCTCCCCCCTCCAGCCCACTTTCCTGCCTTCTTTTGTATGTTGTCATTAGATTGGAAGATCCTTGAGGGGAGGGACTGTCTTTCTTTTTATTAATTGTATCCCCTGCACTTAGCATTGTGCCTGGTACACAGTAGGTGTTTAATAAATATGTATTGGTTTGGCTATCAAAATCAAACAAAAAAACCATAACTTGTATAAGCCAAATGAGGTCTATCCTTCAAAGCCATAGGAAGCCATACCCTTATTCTGATGATGTTACTACAGCTTAAAACACAGTTGGAGCTCTTCTTTGGGAACCTCCTATGATGTGCTCTCATTCATAGGATAGACTATTTAGCCTAGAAGGGACCTTACAGAAAAAAACTGAGGCCCCAAGAGAAGATGTGATACTTTAAGTATCAAACGGCAGCACCTGGTTTCGACACAAAACCCTGTGCCCTTCCCATTAAGACAATATATCAGCCCCAGCAACCCATACCATTACTTTATAGCACCACCTCATTTTAGGCCAGAAACTGTAACACTCAACTTGATTGCTTGCTTTATTTACCAGACTTGGAGCACTAGGATCTGGAGTCACAGAAGACCTGGATTCAAATCTGACCTCAGACATTTACCAGCTGGGCATGTCACTTGACCTCTGCCTGCCTCAGTTTCCTCTGGTGGTAATATAATGAGGACAAGGATAGCACCTACCTTCCAGAGTTGTTGGGAAGATCAAATGAGATAATATTTGTAAAGTATTTAGCACTGTGCCAGTGCTAAGTAGGTACTTAAGAAATACTTCTTTCCTTCCTTCTTCTTTTCTCCCCTTCTTTCCTTCCCTTTCTTCCTTCTTTCCTTCCCTGTTTCCTTCCTTCCTCCTTTCCTTCCTTTCCTTCCTTCCTTCCTCCTTTCCTTCCTTACTTCCTTCCTTTCCTTCCTTCCTTCTCTCCTTCCTTCCTTCCTTCCTTCCTTCCTCTCAATGACCATCAAATGTTTTGAAAAATCAAACCTACCATTACAGGATGAAGATTTGCTACCACTGAGGATTTGGTCTGCATTTCATTGGAGAATGGAAATTCTGGTAAAGAAACTCCCTGTACTAATATGGAAAGGTATCTGTTCTGTAATTGTAGTCTTAGGCAGTTGTCTAGAATAGACAGCAGAGAACACTTGGACTGACTCCCAAGTGCAGCCAGATGCAGCTTAAAATATAAATGGGAAATATTGAACAAAATAAATAAAAACATAATAAAAGAAAGATAACATTATACCTTAAAACTAAGTCAATTTAAGGTCCCACAGAGATTCTTATGTATGGACTAGAGGCCTCCATTTCTATTTGAATTTAACACCACTGGTCCACATCTCTGAGAGGATAAGTGACTTGTCCAGAATGACAGAGCCATTATGTTATAGGTGGGACTTCACCCTAAGTCTTTCTGATTCCAACTATGCTCTGCTGCTTCTCACCACTGAAGATATTCAGAAGACGTCATAAACTTGGCTGTTAGTACAGATAGTCTGTTCCTTTGACAAGACTCTCTGGCCAGAATTCTTTCCCTTTTCACCTCCTCCTCCTGACTTCCTTCAAATTCTACCTAAAACCCCGTCTTCTATTATTCAGTCATGTCTGACTCTTCATGACCCCATTTGGGGTTTTCTTGGCAGAGATACTGGAGTGGCTTACCATTTCCTTCTCCAGCTCATTTTACAAATGAGGAAACTGAGGCAAACAGGGTTAAGTGACTTGCCCAGGGTCACACAGCTTGTAAGTGTCTGAGGTCAGATTTGAACTCAGGAAGATGAGTTTTCCTGACTTCATACCTGGTGCTCTATGCACTATGGCGCCACCTAGCGTCCAACTGTGCCACCTAGCTGTCTCTAAATCCCATCTTCTCAGGAAGCCTTTCTGGATCTCTCTTAATTCTAAGACCTTCTCTCTGGTGATTGTTCCCTATGTAACCTGTATATATCTTGTTAGTACAAAGTTGCTTGTATCTTGTCTTCCCTGTTAGATTGTGACTTTCTTGAGGGCAGGGACTGACTTTTGCCTCTTTTTGTATCCCCGGCACTTAACACAGTATATGGCATGTATTAAGTGCTTAATAAATGCTTATTAACTGACTGGCTATAGGAGAGGAAGATTCCTGGGGGTTAATAATAATAATAGCAAAATGAAGGCTTGATAAAACTCATATGCTAACCCTAGAGAAATGAAATATGCTCTATCCATCTCCCCCACTCCCCAGCCCTACCATGGCAGTGGTCTGACTGACCTGTCTGATTATAGTGCATCCAGCTGAGAATCACTTCTGGGGCCCGGTACCAACGAGTCACCACATAGCCCGTCATCTCAGCATCTGCATGCCTGGCCAACCCAAAATCTAGAATCTACAGGTCAGCAGAAAAAGGAAGAGAGATTCATTGTTGAGGAGGGGCATGACAAACACCTTCTAGAGAGAAGCTCTCATAATTCTGTCCTCCCATTCCTCTCTCTCCACCCCCCCTACTCAGCTGGAGTCATTACTTCTGGTTCGGTTTGGTAGCTGTCCCCAAATTCAACTGTCTTTTTTTTTTTTTGCTAGGCAATGGGGTTAAGTGATTTGCCCAGGGTCACAGCCCAGTCCTTTTAAGCCCACCTTAAGTTCACAGTCTTCATTCACAGCCAGGTTTCCTGGTTTCAAGTCCTACATTGGATAAGAATAGAATATCAAGCCTAAGGTTAAGCTTACTTTTTGAGGGAAAAAAATAATTGATTTATTTTGCTTTCCTATCACCTTTACTTCCCAATTCCTCCCTCCCCCTTTTCCCATCCAGAGAGCTAGCTGTCATAACAATGAAAGAGTAAAAAAACAACAAAAAATCCCCCCAAACTCAAAAGTCAACAAAACTAACATATCAACCAAATCTGACAGTATGAACAGCATTTCACCAGCAGCTAGGTGGCACAGTGGATAGAACATCAGGTCTGGAGTCAGGAAGACTCATCTTCCTAAGTTCAAATCTGGCCGCAGACACTTATTAGCTGTGTGACCCTGGGCAAGTCACTTAATCCTGTTTGCCTCAGTTCCTCATCTATAAAACGAGCTGGAGAAGGAAATGGCAAACTGCTCCAGTATCTTTGTCTGGTCATGAAGAGTCAGATACAACTGAAAAATGACTGAAAAGCAACAACAGCATTTCATACTTACAGCCTCCCACCTCCACAAAGAAAGGTACCATCTTACACTTTCTCTAAGAGTCAAGAACTCATTTGTTTGAACAACACCAAGTGGTCAAACCTAGGTTTCCCACTAGGCAATTCTTCATCTTTTAGAGTTTCTTGGGTTTCTGCTACGTTCCCGTGGGAGGGACTTCAGAAGACATGCAGCCTAGGTATGAATCTTCTCTACCTATCCCTGGCCACTGAGATCACACAACTGAAGTCCCAATAATGAAAAATCTTAAAGGCTTTTTCAACTTCTGGTAGGTCCAAGGCCTGTGGGCTGAGAATTAAGACCTGGGTACCATTCTACAAGCATCCTGAAAACAAAATCAGCTCTCAAAGTGCTTCCATTGCCTCTTAGACTTCATGCCAAGATCTACCAAGGGGGCCAACTTGAGTGGTGTTCAAAGAAGACTTCTCACCTGGATAACTACCTGTTCAACCCAAGAGAATATTTTTTCCCCTTCATTTCACATCCTTACCCACTGACTGTCAGAATGAGTCAGATGATATACAGATGTTCAGGGAATTTGTAAACGAGTTTTTATTTACCTAAAGAGAATTTTAGGTTCCAATCCTGGACTCTATTACTTACTGACTGTTAGACTGGGAACAAGTCACTTACACCTCTGAGCCTTAGTTTCTTCAACTTTAAAATGTGGGGGTTGGCCTAGATGATTCCTAGGGTAACTTCTAGCTCTTAAAAAGTCTATTCTAAGAATCTACAAAGTATAGTATAGTAGCTGTTTGTTTTAGTAACACTAGACTCTTAGGCCATTGACCAATGCCATAAATCAGATGTAATAATAATAATAGCTAGCATTTATATAGCACTTTAAGGTTTGTAAAGAGCTTTCTCATTTGATCCTTACAACAACTCTGTGAGGTAAGTGCTGTTATTATCTCAACTTTACCAATGAGGAAATTAAATCTGAGAGCAGGTGACTTGCTTGGGATTCTACAACTAATAAGTGTCTGAGGCAAGACTCAAACTTAAATCTTCAGACAGGTAAGCCTTTGCTTTCTGTTGTTGCCCAGAACTAAGGTCGTCAAGCTACTTTCCAGACATGCCAGTTACACGCTAGCCCTCTACCTCATCCCCAACCTGCTGGAACTCAGACTCTGCCCCTGGGACCCTAGGCTCTGAGAGGTGAGCTTTGGAGCTACCTGGCCAGAACCAGGTTACCACACCACGTCCTGGCCATCTCTAAACCATGCCTTTGCTTGTATATTCCCCCACTTTTTAATGTTATTTTCTCCCATTAGAATGTAAGCTCTTTGAGAGTAGAGACTGTCTTGCTTATAGTTGTACCCCCAGAACTTAGCATAGTGCTTGGCGTATTACAAATGCTTTTTTCATTCATTTCTGACTTCAAGTTCAGCACACTATCTACTATGTCACCTAGATGCCTTCATATTAGTCATGAAACTGCAGAGTCATCAATCTAGGGAAGGAAAGGAAGATTTATCAAGTACCTACCACGTGCCAGGCACTGTCTTAAGGCCTTTAATATTTCATCTGATCCTCACAACCCTGGGATGTAGTTACTATTATTGTCCTCATTTTATAGTTAAGGAAACTGAGGCTGACTGAGGTTAAGTTGTGTGAGGATCACACAACTAGTATCTAAGGCTGGATTTGAACTCAGTTCTTGACTACAGGCCCAGCCCTTTCCCACTGCACCATCTAGCTGCCTCTAAGGCAGTTGAAGAAGGGCCCTCATCGATCATCTAGTCCAATGCCCTTATTTTATAGTTGAGGAAACTGAGGCCCACTGGGCTTAGATGATTTGTCCAGGGACACATAGCTAGAAAGTAGCAAAGGTGGGATTTGAATCTAGGCCCTCGGACTCCAGAGTCAGTGTTCTTTCCAGGATGCCATGGTTCCAAACCTAGGAAGTTTCAGTCCCAGCCACAGAGTAATTGATTCTTTTCCATTCCTGTTACAGGGTTTTAGGCAACCCCACACTCCCAGGCTTTTTGGAGATATTTCTCTTCTTTCTCCTTCTCTATCCAATGCTAGAGGAACACCAGAGATAGCCAAGAGACCTTGGGAGATAGGAAAGAGAACACCAATGGTGGAACTCACCCTGTGGATGACTCCAGCAGAATGGATATACTAGAATGAGAAAAAGAGAAAGGTGAATTAATTTATTGTATCCTGTCTATCCACTCTGACACTTTCCTAGAACAGGGAGCGGTTTGGTCCTTTTTGCTATACGGCATCATAGCCGTATAATAGTTGGGTAGGGCTGACACCAACCTGGGATCACCCCCAAGCACACTGCACATTGCTACTCCCCCGACCCAACCCATGGACTACCAGAAAACAGATATCTTGAGCCCTATGCCTTCTCTACCTCCTTCCAAGTTGGCCCCCATTCACCTTGAGCCCTTTCAGCATCTGATAGACAAGGTATTGGATCTTATCCTCAGTGAATTCTGTGCCCATAATCTTCTGGAGATCCGTCTGCATGAATGGCATCACCAGATAGCTGAAAAACAAAGGCACTTGAATGAATCCAGGTGTAGCACCAGCCTCCGCCCTGTGCCAGGTAGGAAACAGAATGGGGACTAAGAATTGGTCGACCCTCTGTCAGGCAAGCATCAATGCATGTGCATGAGAGCCCATCATCTCTCCTCTGAAACAACTGGAGATGCAACGTCAGGACCCCTTCCTCTCAACCTAACTGCTATGCCACCCAGCCCCCCCCCTCAAGATTAGCAGAGCTCAGTGTTAACAGATGGGATTTTTTTTAATGGGGCAAAACCAAATAGGGACTGGATTTTTCCATGTTTCCCTACCACCACCACCAAATGCCCCCCTCTCTCTACCTCTTCCTGAGGTGAGAGACTATGGAGGTGGAACATATACTGCCAGACCCCACTGATATATTAGACAACTTTGCTTTCCTTCTCTTTCTTTGTAAAACTTTTTTTTTTAAACAAGGGTATACTTCCTAAGAAATGGAAGTGGAATGTTTTTGGAAATTGGGGGCAGTTTCAGAAACTAAACTGAGCAAGGTAAAAAGTGGGCAAGGTAAAAAGAAGTGGGCAAGCATGACCCAGAACAGAAATATTATTCCAGCAAGCAACCTGATCACCTGCCTGCTGGGTCAGATTCCTTCTGAGTTTATAACAATCAGAGCTGAGCTACTGCCCCACAATGGTGGAAGAACTTGGCCTTTGACCATCACAGGACTTGGGTTCAAATCTCAGATCTGCCACTCTACTTCCTGTGGGATCTTGGGCCAGTCAATTCCCCTCTGAGAGTCTACATATTCACAGCTGGCCTAGTAGCATCCAATCCCATCACTGGTTGCCACTTGGGATGAAAGAAGCAAAGGAAAACTGAAGCTTGATAATGTCATGGCTATAAAGATGTATCTCTAGTTTAACTCTCTTGCAGGCTTGCTCCAGGGCCAGGTTTATGTATGGGTCTCAACCCAGCCTCAGCCTCAGTCAGATGGCTCTAATTGACTAATTGATTTTCAAGTTCCAGAACTAGTGCATGTACTCTTCAATTCAGGCACACTAGCCTCCTTGCTGCTCCTCAAACAAGACATTTAAACTCTGGGCATTTTCTCTGGCTGTCTCCCATGCCTGGAATGCTCTCCCTCCTCATTTTGCCTCTTTACCTCCCTGGCTTCCTTTTAGCTTCAGCTAAAATCTCACCTTCTACAGGAAGCCTTTCCCAATCCCCCTTAATTCTAGCATCTTCCCTACGAGACTACCTCCAATTTAATCTGCATATTGCCTGTTTGTATATAGTTGTTTGCAGGTTGTCTTCTCTATTTGATGGTGGGTTCCTTGAGGGATAGGCCTATCCTTGGCCTTTCTTTATATCCCACTGTGCCATCCTGACTCCTGTGCTAACCCTGTGCTAACTATGTTTCTCATTCTTCTTAATGAACACATGAAAAACTTTGGGCTACTGAGCTGTTGGCTTACTGGTGCCAAGCCAGTTTTCTGCTGAAAACTTAGGAAAGTTGTTTTGATCTAGCAATACCACCACTAGGTCTGTATCCCAAAGAGATCATAAAAAAGGGGGAAAGGACCCACATCTACAAAAATATTTATAGCAACTCTTTTTGAGGTGGCAAAGAATTGGAAATTGAGGGGATGCCCATCAGTTGGGGACTAGATAAACAAGCTGTGGTATATGATTGTGATGGAATACTACTGTGCTATAAGAAATGATGAGCAGGCAGACTTCAGAAAAACCTGGAAAGACTTGTATGGACTGATGCCGAGTGAAGTGAGCCGAACCAGGAGAACGTTGTACACAGTAACAGCCACGTTGTGTGATGACTAACTTTGATAGACTTAGCCCTTCTCCAATGATCCAAGACAATTCCAAAAGACTCATGATGAAAAATGCTATCCACATACAGAGAAAACTATGGAGTCTGAATGCAGATTGAAGTATACTATTTTCACTTTTTTTGTTTTTTTTTCTTTCTCATGGTTCTCCTCTTTTGTTCTGAATCTTCTTTCACAACATGACTAATGTGGAAATATGTTTAACATGATTGCACATATATAAGCTATATCAAATTGCTTGCCATCTTGGGGAAGGGGGAAGAGAGGAAGAGACAAAAATTTGGAACTCAAAATCTTATAAAAAATGAATGCTGAAAACTATTTTTACATGTAATTGAAAAAAATAAAATACTATTTTTTAAAAAGGGGAAAAAAGCCTTAGGGAATTTAGATAAGAGAATTTTTAAAGCCTCCCCATCCACTGGAAACTCTTTGGAAAGGCACAGTGCCTGACACACAGTAAATGTTTAATGACTCTCCCCAGAACTCAGAATGACTCTGGGGGGCAGACTTCTGTAACTGGGTTGTTGGGCCTCTGCCAATTATCTTGTTTCATGACACTGTTTTCCTTATCTTCCACATACTGAACAAAACTATGTATCAGGTAAAACTGTAAGTGTTTCCTTCTCATTTTGTGCAAAATGTCACCACGCCCTCTTCCCCTTCTCTCCACTCCGCTGAGCCACAGACGGAAGGTCTGGTCTTAAAGAGAGGAAATATGACACAGGTGCTCCGGGAAGGGGGAGGAGGCAAGAAGTGGTCAAGCCCTTTTCAACTCTATTACTAGGAATCAGTTAAAAAAACAGAGTAGGTGAGAGTGCTGAGGGCAGCAAATACAACAGCTTCTTTCTCAGAGCTGGTTTCAGGAAACAGTAACCTTTGTAGGCATATTGACAGTAAGACTCTGTGGATCATTGCCAACAACCTTCCAAATGTCTGGAAACTGCAGGGTACGGGCATGGTTACACAGGGACCACATCTGAACCGAGAACTTGTTAACACAGAGCCCACCTTTCTATGGTTTCCAATGGATGAGAACACTTTTGAAAGTCTGTCTTACCCAAGTTCTCTGAGCTTTAAGCAGGGGACTGACTTAGCAGCAGTGAAGCCAGCAACCCGAGATATTCGTGTATACAGGCAGAGGAATGCAGAAACACAGCACAGGGTTTGCCAAAGGAGGCAGGGTAGCACAGTGATGAGAAACCTGGCTGGACAGCAGCCCTTTGGGGGTGAGCCCACATTTAGGAGGTAGAAGGAAGGAGTGGAATCAGAGGAGGACACTACTGGGAAGAACAAGCAGGGAGAGAATTAGGCCAGGGGAGTGTCAAAGCAACCTAGGAAGAGAGAATTCCCCAAACTGGTAAAAAATCACAACAGCTAGGATTAATACAGGCTTTAAGATTTGCAAAGCACTTTAAACATCTCATTTGGCCCTCACAACAAACCCTGTAGGATTATTGCTATTACTATCCCCACTTTATAGATTAAAAAAAAAAAAACAACCACAATACAGACAGAGGCTGAGTGACTTGCCCAGGGTTACTGTAAGTAAGAGATTGAGGGAGAATTGGATCAGGTCTTCCTGACTCCAAGCTCAACACTTTATATGGTGTGTTCACACACTCTCTCTCTCTCTGTCTCTCTCTCTTTCACACACACACACACACACACTCACACACACCCATCCACACCCATCTCCCAGCCTGCCTATGGATAACAATCCAAAATGCTACAGACAGGTCACAGGGATTGAGGACTGAGAAGAAGCCACTCTATTTGGCACACTGCAAGCCCTTGACCTGAGAGTTGGTTTGGTAGAGTAACGTGGGGAGGGAGGGCAGAGTTAAGGAGGGAGTCTGGTGAGAAAATGGAAGAATCAAATATAGATTACTCAGATGAGAAGTTGAGTGGTGAAGAGAAAACCCTGTCTATCCAAATTCTACTCATCTTTCAAGACTCAGTTCAAATTCCTTCTCCTTAAAGCCTCCTAACCCATAGAAGCCTAGTTCTCTATTTCTTTCTGAATGCCTGTACTACTTATTATATGTACCATTCATATGGCAATTAATCCTATGCTGCCCTGTGACATTTCTTGCCCTGAACTGTTAAATATCTCATATTGCTACCAATGCTGCACATGTTTCTGGAGAAAGGGAGGGAGGGAGCAAGAAAGAGAAGGGGAGAGGGGAAGGCACAGAAAGGGAGAAGAGGGAAAGAGGAAAGGAGAGAGGGAGAGACCAGGAAACACTGGCTGAGGAATCAGGAGACTGTGGTACTAGTCCTGGCTTGGCCCCCCTACTACCTGTGAAAAAAACTTTCCCCTATTCCCTGTGCCTTTCCTCTGAGAGTACCCCCAGTTACTCTGTATTTACCCTAGATGTACATAGTTGTTTGTCTGTTGTCTCCTCCATTAGACGGCGAGCTCTTTGAGAGCAAGGATTGACCTTGCCTTCCTTTATACCCCCTAGAACATAGCACAGTGCTTGGCACATAGTTAGCACTTAATAAACGCTGTCTGACATGTTGACTTTCCCTCACTGCGCCTCAGTCTTCCTATCTGTAAACCAAGGGGGTTGGACTCAATGGTCTCTAAGGCAGTTTGCAGCTCTCACACACTGTAATCTGTTCTATAATCTGCTTTCCTTACTGATGTTTGTCACCTCAGCAATTTGGTGAAGCCACCAAATGACAAGTAGATAGACATCTGAGCTAACATCAAAAATGCTGGAGAAGATGATTTTTAAAAAATCCAAAAACCATGTGTGCCCTAGTAAGTATTCTGAATTCTATATGTGGTTGGGTTACCAGGCTAAGCCCGGGTAGCCACAGCTACCAATATCTCTTTTAATCCCTCCCCAGTCCTTCTCTTCTCAGTCCTGCCACTGCCTCTCTTGAAAGATATCCTCTTTACTTTCTTTGTCCTGAGTTGGCACATTGCTCCATCGGGCTCCACTGGGCTGGGCTGCCAGAAATTTTTGCTCCTTGTATGCACTTATCATTTTCTGAACTGAGCCTCAGCCACCTCAATCTCTAAAATAGTAATAATAATAGTAGTAAGTACTTACCTCCAAAGGTGGTTGTGAAGATCAAATGAGCACTTTGCAAACCTTATGGAGTGCTATGTAAATGATAGTTATTATCCAGGTGAGACAGAAGGAAGGATTTTCTAATAATGAGGGTTAGTAGATATTGTGATGGATTATCAAGGGAGATACAGTAGTAGATTATAACTCCTTAAGGGAAGGAAATTTTTAAAAAATTTGCCTTTATATCCCCAGTGCCTAGTACAATTTCTGGCATCTGGTAAGTACTTAAATGTTTTTATTGAATGACTTGGGATAGTCCTACTTTAGGGTAGGAAAATAAACTAATTGAGGTTTCAAAATTTCTTTCAGCACTACAATGCTATGGAACAGGTCTGGGTGATAATATTAAAATAAATTTCTATTTGATTCTATATGTCCCAAGAACATTCATTCTTTCATTCATTCATTCACTTGACAAATACTAACTGGGCACCTACCGTAGGCAAGGCACTATGTGAAACACTATAGGGGATCTGATGATGAATGGTTCCTTCCCTCATGCAGCTTACAATCTAACAAGCAGACAAATAAGTGATAATACAAGAAAGAATGTGAAAGTATTGTAAGACAGATAGAAAGTGTTATCTGTGCTCATTCACAGGAGGTAGAGATCACGTCTACTGGGGAGAACAGGAAAGATTTTTCCACTAAAAAACTGACTATGGTATATGCTACCAAATATAAAGAGATGGTCTATATTGTATCAGTTTGGCATTAATAGGTATGCTATGTGGAAAACATATTAGGCTTGTTTTACATGGCCTCAAAGAGCTGAACCAGGAGCATGGGGTGAACTCGCAAAGAGGCTATAAATTTAGGTTTGATGTCATGAAAAACTTCCTAACAATTAGAACTACCCAAAAGTGGAATGGACTGCTTTGACAAGCAGCTAGGTGGCTCCTCACTGGACACCTTCCAGTGAAGGCTGAATGATGGATTATTATAACTTAGAGGTATGCTTAATCAAGCTGAGGTTGGACAAGAAAGTGTCTCTTCCAACTTTGAGCATACAATGTATATTCTAGTCATACATTCTCCCGTATTTATATGCATCTTCCTGTTAGATCCAGGATCTGTTCCAGGGTGGTAGGAACCATGTCTTATTCACCATTGTATACCTTATAATATTTCATACAGTGCCTTACCTATACTAGGTGTTCAATAAGTATTTGATGAATGAATTAATGAAAGAAGATTCAGCTGTGCTCCTATCTTTTTTTGGGGGGGGAGGCAATTGGGGTTAAGTGACTTGCCCAGGGTCACACAGCCAGTAAGTGTCTGAGTCTGGATTTAAACTGAGGTCCTCCTGACTCCAGGGCTGGTGCTCTATCCACTGTACCACCTAGCTGCCCCATACCCCTATCGTATTGTAACCCCTTTTAGATTGTAAGCCCTTGGAAATCAAGGACTGTGTCATATTTTTGTCTTCCCCAGTACCTAGCACAGTAACCTCCTACATGCAGTGTACTATGCCAAACAGTGGGGAGGTACATATTTAATAACTCTCCATGGGCCAAATGGGCAGCACCAAGGCACATGTCAAGACAGGATGCTCACCTCCAGCCCAAGATCATTAGTTCAGCTGCATGTGAAATGATACTCACAAATACTCCAAGACTCCACCCACCCCAGACTCACAAATCATGGAAGTTGTGCAGGGACGTAGCAGAAGTAAAGACGTCCAACAGTCCGATAACCTGGGGAAGGAGTCAACAGGTCAGAGGGGGCCTTTCCCTGCCTCCACGTCTGGTCAGCAGCTGTACAGTCAGATCCAGGGTCTGCCGCAAGCACAGCTCATCTCAAACCACCTTCCCCCTTCTTCCTTACACTGCACCTTGGGGCCAAGTCAGAGTTGTGAGTTTTTATTCCTATTGCCCCATCCTCACAGCTGGTCAAGGATGAGGCCAGGTAGAAGAAAAGAGTACTGCAGTCAGCGTCCAGTTTCCTCTTTCCATTGCTTCATATGGTTTGGTTTTAGTTCTGGCTCTGCCATTGACTTATTAGGGGAGCTCAAGCAAATCACGTCATCTCCTGGGGCTTCAGTTACCTCTTCTCTAAAATGAGGGGACTGGATAAGTGACCCCTGAGGTCCCTCACCTGGGCCCCAAAGTTCTTTGTGTTAGGCACGTCAGCAGCTGCTTCCTGATCCCCACCCTTCCAAGTCCCCTTTAGATACTTCCTACATACGTACGTTCTCATGCTGCATGTGTTTCAATAGCATCAGCTCCCGATAGGCCCTCTTGGCAAAGATCTCTGACTGGAAAGGTCGGCTCAGTTTCTTAATCGCCACCTTCTCTCCTGACTTTTTTTCAATGGCTGAGCTATAGGAACCAGAGGAGATAGGGCTGGTTGGAAGGTAGCACTTCAGGGAGTCCTGGCTATTTGCAACAGACTCTACACAAACACACACACACACACACACACACACACACACACACACTCATTTAATTTCTGATGATTTCTTTTTTTCTTTTTTTTTTTGGCTGGGCAATGGGGTTAACTGACTTGACTGGGGTCACACAGTTAGTGTCAATTGTCTGAGGTCATATTTGAACTCAGGTCCTCCTGAACATGATTTCTTTACACACATACAAACACAGACACACAGACACACACACACACACACCCCTTCAATTTCTGATGACTCTTTCAGTCTGGCTCCTCCTAATCCTGTTTTGGGGGGGGAGTGGCAGAACAAATTGGGGGAACCAGCCTCCACCTGCCTGCCTACTTGTCTCTCCCCCTTGCAAGGTAAATCTGGAAAGACCAGCATGGGAAGAAAAGATTAGTACATTACAAACACGGGCCAAGACAGGCAGGGACTAGGGGAAAAAAACTCAATCCAACTACCAATGAAAGTCAGGGACAAAGACACCTAAGTGTGTTGAGTTAGCCTCCATCAGACAGGCAAAGAACCATAAAGCAGGCACTTGTACAGATCTCTCAGTGAGGTAAACCTCCATTTCTCCATCTGTAAAATAACTGCCCTACTGACCTCAAAGGGTTGTTGTGAGGCTCAAATAAGATAATTGTATTCGAAAGAGCTCTGTAAGCAAAAATCAGCATAAATATCAGTAGCAGCAGGATGCAGTACGCCAACATTCCATCTGTCATCAGAAAACCTGGGTTTGATTCCCAGCTCTGCTGTGTGATACATACAGTAAGTACTAAGAGCACTGGCTTGGAATCAGAGGACCTGGGTTCAAATCCTGCCTCTGACACATACTATGCAGGTGACTTAGGCCAAGTAATTGAACCTCCGGGGGCCTCCTGTTTCCTTAGCTAAAGATAAGGGGGTTAACCTAGACAACATCCATAAGGTCCCTTCCAGCTCTATTTCTCTGATCTATGATACAATCCTAGCCCTCCTACTTTGTACCCTGTGACCTTGGAGAAATGACTTCTTTTTTCCTTTGTAAAATGAGGAGATTGCACTAGGTGACTTCTAAGGATTCTCTAAGCTGAAATGTAAGCCGGTTGCTCACACTGAGACAACCAGTCCAGGCTTTCAGCACTCTCCATGAATCTGTCTGCCCCAGTTCAGCCCTCTATTCATGTCTATAGCAACAAGGCACACATTCAGTATTTTACAGGACAGACCAATATCAAATATTTGGTCTCATTCACAGATTAGGGGGAAAATCTTTTGTCAGACTATACATTGTGGGTTTTGGTTTGGAAATTATTACAACCATAAATTTTCCATTCTTTCCTACTCTGTTCTTTAACCCTATTGTTCCCTTTCCCACCCAACTCTCCAGATAAGGAGGCCAGGGACCTGATCAGGCTTACCAGTCTGGAATGACCCCATAGCAGAACCAATCTTGGGTCTAGAGAGGATGGGAAAGCTTTAGGTCAAGGTTAGGCAAGAAGCTCTTCTGCTTGGGATGCCCACCTGCCCGAGGGCACCCTGTCAGAGACTCTGGAGGAGTCGGAGGGAGGAAAGGGGCCTCCTACTCTAAACCTTGCCCTCAAGGGGCATAGAGACAGTAATCCCAACACCCATCACAAAAAGTAAAGTTCCAGATCGGCTGGAAGAGATAGGGGGAACACCTGCCCGGGTCTCTACCGTCCATACTTGCTCAAATCAATCAGCGGAGCCCTCACTCCTCAGCCTAGGCCAACCTGGATCTAAGGCCTCGGGGGATGGGAACGGGGTCTCACCACACTGCGCCGTAGGCCCCGCTGCCCACGTGGGTCAGGGTCACGTAGGTCTTGGGCAGCTCCCAGGCAGTCTTGTTCACTTCTTGCTTGTAAAAGCCCCTTTTCCGGATGAAGCTCATCACGAGCTCGGTGTCTGGGCCCCCAGACAGCCCAGACAGCCAGTGCAGGGCTGACAGCGCGCAATGGATCGCGTGGATGGCGCGCTGTGCCCTGTGCGCCCTACGCCCAAGGGGCGCGGCTCTAGGAGGCCACTTCGCAGCAGTGTTTCCCTGCCCGCCCCCGTACTCACGGGGCCAGGTGTCAAGTTTCAACTGCTTACCTTCCTGGCTCGCCCAGGTGCAGAAGGTAGTGGCGGTGGCAGTGGCTGGACCCCGCCCAAGGCCTGGGGCACCGCCGGGCGCCGCCTCCTCCTTCTTTTCCTTGTCTTCTCCCCTCAGCCAGCTGGGCCTACCCCTGCCCCTGCCCCTGCCAGCCCTGGGAGGTGAGACCCCACTACTGCCATTGGAGGATGAGAGTGGGGAGATGGTGTGAGGGTCACCTTCTCCATTATTCCTTTCTCCTTCCTTAGAGAGTATCTAAGAAAAACCTCTCACTTTACAGATAGTGAAACAGGCTCAAAGAGGAGAGGAACTTCCCAAGGTCACACAAGCATCAGTTACTCTCCCCTCCCCTAGTGCGATCATCTTCCCAAGGCACCATCTCAAAAATTAGCTGTTAAGATGGAAGACATGGAGACCTTGTGTGGTTGGCTGCACAGGGGAAGGAAGCAAAAACAAAAAGAGACAAACAAACAAACAAAAACCCTTTAGATAAGAGAGAAAGAGTCCTGGGACCCCAGGGAGGGCAGGTTCCAAAGAGGGAAGTGAGATGTGCTTTTGCAGGAGGAAAGGTCATAGCGGATTGTGAGTCTGGAAACCGTGTAAGGGGATGATAGATGAAGAAAATGTAGTTTAGCCTGGAAAAAAAGACAGTGGTGGGGAGGAGGTGGCATGGAACTGGGGAAGAAGAGAGGAGGGATATGGTCCCTGTTTTCAAATATTTCAAAAGACTGTCATTGGGAAGAGGGAGCAGAGTCATTCTGTGTGGCTTCAGAGGGCAGAACCCTGAGCAATGAGTAGAAGTTAGAGGAGATGATTCAGTGTAAGAAAGAGCTTCCTGACAATTAGAGGTGCCCAGTGCAATGGAATGGGATGCCTGAATTAGGAAATGTTCAACCAAGGCTGAATGACCTGCTCTTTAGGGATGTTTTCCAGAGTTGGGGGGAGGGGGCAAGGTTGGGGTAGATTGCAGGTCATTGGATCATAGATTTAGAACTGGAAAGGACCTTACAGGCCATGAAGTCCAAATAGCACACATTTTACAGATGAGAAAACTGAATTCTAGAGAAGTTATGACTTTCTAGGGTCATATACCTAGGAAGTGCCTAAGTCAGGATTGAATCCAGCTCTTTCTGACTCTAAATCTATTGTCTAGTGAGGGCTGTTATGCCAAGCTGCTTCTTCTGTAGATGATATCTAAGGTTCCCTCTAACTCTTAGATTCTGGGAGTCTCTAATCAAGTCTCCCAGAGCTGTCCAAGAAAAAACTATGGCTACTTCTTCATTTCCATAAAGGACAGAGACAGCACAGGCCCAGGATCCTTTAGCACCCAGAAGCATGGGAGTTGGGGGGGGCGATGGGGGTGGGGAGAAAAGCTCCTTTAAAAAAAAACAGTCACACATTCCTACTTCACACCTAGCACTCGAATGGTTACAAAGGCTTTCATGTCTTTTGTCTCATTTGATCCCCATAATATCACTGTCAGATAGTGAGTATAAATATTTTAATCTCCATTTTACAGATAAGGAAACTGAGGCTCAGAGACATTAGGTGATTTGTCCAAGGACACACAACTCAGGGCTCAAAATCTAGTCTCCGAGTCCAGTGGGCTTTCCTCTATACCACGTTGCCTGTAACAGAGGAGTAGAAACCTCAGAGACAGCCTTGTGTAGTTTAAAGGGCCTTGGATAAACTCTGATGAGTTGTAATGAACAATCTCAGTCCCAGAGACCCATACTGACTGTATGACTCTAGTCAAGTCATTTAATTTCTCAATGCTCCAAGTAACTCTTAAAGACTTGAAGTGATTAAATAGTTGGAAATCTGCACTGGGAGACAGAGTTTACTCACTGAGAGCTGCCTTCCCTGATGGAAGTCACAGGTCTGGCTGGACCAAAGGGATTCAGGAGTCAGGAACCCCAGAGTGTGGTTCCAGCTCTACGATGGTGAACAAATTGTTTTTACCTTTAGTCCTCCATCTTCTCATCTGTAGAAAACAATGGAGTTCAACCAGAAGGTTCCAGAGCAGCACTTCTTAACTTGGGGTCCATGGACAGATTTCAGCGGGCTCAAGAACTTGGATGGAGAAAAAATTACATATTTATTTCAATATAATTGGCTTCTTTCATAATCCTATGTTATTTCATTTTATGCATTTAAAAACATTATTCTGAGAAGGGGTCTATAGGCTTCACCAGACTGCTAAAGGGGTCTGTGACATTAAAAAAAAGTTTTAAGAACCTCTGGTTTAGGGGCAGCTAGGTGGTGAAGTAGATAGAGAACCAGCCCTAGAGTCAGGAGGACCTGAGTTCAATTATGGCCTCAGATACTTACTAGATGTGTGACCCTGGGCAAGTCACTTAACACTGATTGACTCCAAAAGCAACAACAACAACAAACCCTGGTTGGGGGAAGGGAGAGAAAAAAAAATAAAGTAAAAGTACACAGCAGAGAACAAAAGAAAATCTAGAAGAAAGCAAAGAAAAACTGGGTAGTTTTGAAAACAATGTGTAGTATTTATTACATAGGTCTTCTTGAAATGGAAATCTATTGTTTTATATGGAATCCTCTCATGTTCTGCTGTGTACATGGAAATGACTCTTTTTCTTTATTCATTTCATATTTAAGTTTAAAATAAATAAAAAATTTACACCAAGAACCTCCCCCCCCCAAAAAAAAACAAACACTAGAGACTGAGGGACATGTTTGATTATTCAAGAGGAAAACACAACTAGAGAAGAAAATGGACTTGAACCTTCTAGATAGCAATTTATTGCCTGCTTGATTGGGAAAACCTTTTCTGAGGCTGTTTTCTCCTTTGCAATATGAGGCATTGGCATTTGCCCGGTGCCTATCACTGTGCTTTGCAAATAATAGGTGCTCACCTGATGCTTGTTGCTTCTCATTGCAAAGGGTCACCCAGGAATTCAGGATAGAACTGGGACCAGACCCCAAGAATCTTGATTCCCAGGCTGTTTTAGTCTTGGGTGGCAGAGCTTGAGCAGGTACCTTCTTAAGCAACAGCATCAGGAAATGACTAAGGGTCTCAAACTCTCTTGGGACACTGTCCTGAGCAAAACCTGCATTTCCAAAACATCTCGCTCTTTTATGAGTAACCTGATCCATACTGTCTTTTTCTATTGGGCCCTATGGGATCTGGTCAGGGAAGAAGAATGAAAATTTGCCCATTATAATATTTTCCCTCCAGTCTAGTAATTATTGTAGATGTCTTTTTCATTTATGCGTCAGCATGAATTTTATTTAGGGTTTGTTCTCTCAATCAGAGGGTAGCCTTCCTGGGATTATGTACCTAGCAGATTCATGGAGAGTAAAAAAACATACTTGGGGTCAGAGGAGCTGACTTTGAGTCTTGGCTCTGCTACTACCTGGGTGACCTTGGGTAGATAAATCATTTGCCATTTCTGGGACTCAGGAGGAAATCATGAGATTGTAATGATTGGGTCACTACAGATGTATACTGTCTAATCTCAACTGACAGGCAGTATGGCACAGAGGATTAAGTGCCAGTTTCCAAAATATCTAGGTTCAAGACTGGCACCTGGCTCATAATGACTGTGTGACCCTGGTCAAGGTCACAACTTTTTGAGACCTTGTCAATTTTCTCCCTTTTTTTTTCTATCATGAACAGCTGGTTTTTAATGAAATTATTTTTTATTCTGAACTTAACCAAGCCTATATAAAAAGGGAATTTCAATATTCAGAAAAAAGAGGATCCTACCTGAAATTAAGGATCTCTATTATTTGTTGCTTGTTTTTCTATTGAAGTATTTAAGTTCCTTTTGTAGCTTTCAAAGGTGTCCTGCTTGTCTGTGCTTCTTTCTGGCCTTCCTTCCCTTCTCTTCTCTGCATTTTTAAAAAGGTGCCTCTCAGTGAGCCTCTTTTGTTTCTTTCCTTTTCTTTTTTAGCCAGTTCCCTAAGATTGTAGGTAGGAGAACAGGTTCAGATCTGCATTGGGAGAGGGAAGTTCTTACACTGATCTGGACAACAACAACAATAGATGCAATTCTCGCTACATGGTTTAAATATAAGACAATACAGTATAATGGGAAAAGTACTGAACTTGAAATTAGAGAACCTGGGTTCAAGTCACCTCTGACATGACAAGCTGAGTGACCTTGGGCCTCATTTAATTCACTTAAAGGGCCTCATTCCCTAGGCAAGTGACTGAGCCTCATCTGTAAAATGAAGTGATTGAATTGTTGCTGCTCAGTTGTCCAAATCTTCATGAGCTCATTTGGGGTTTGCCATTTCCTTCTCCAGCTCATTTGACAGATAAAGAAACTGAGGCAAACAGTTAAGTGACTCACCCAGGGTCACACAGCAACTAAGGCCAGATTTGAACTCAGGAAGATCAGTCTTCCTGACTCTAGGCTGGGTGCTCTATCCACTGCATCACCCAGCTGGCCTCTGAAGTCTCTTCCAGTTCTAAAGCCTGTGATCTTCCTGGAAGTTCTAGCACCCCTTCCCATTGTGGCCTCTCACTCCCTACCTCGTTCCATATATAGCCAGAGCCAGAGAGTAATGATGTCAGAGCCAGACAACAATATATGTAGAAGTTGACTGACTGTGCATAGGTCCAGAGAGTAGCAGTAATGATCAATGGGTAGTGATAATGGGGCCTGATTGATTCCAACTGAACCTCTGAATACCACTCATTCTTCATTGATGCAGCCTTCTTTCCTGATGCACCCTGGTGACTCTACCTCCCCAAAGGTGTTCCTTCATCCCAGTTGATGTTTACCATCATGACAGAGTCACAGAACACACCTCTGTAGCTCCTTGCTTTCATCACTGAACCAAAGTCAGCTCCACACAGCTGGGGTCCATGCTAGGCTTTCATCTAGGTCTTGCTGACCTTTATCTCTTA